CAGGAATGTGATAAACTTCCCTGCTCTGTCATTTTATATGAAGAATCCTGTATGAGGGATCCTGTCGTTTTAGTTTCAAAAGTAACTCAGGTTGGAGTTAACTGGTTTAATGAGAATCCTGTACATCTAGGACATTGTTCTTGGTAGAAAATGTTGCCAAAAATAGGACTTGATAGCAATTGCATGGTTTAGTCTTGTTGTTTGGTTTTTAGTTATTTAGTAGCTTTTTTTCTTAAACCATCAGAGTTGATTTTTAGAGCGGGTGTGAGAAACCAAGAACTCACTCTAGTTTGCCTTATTGCTCTTGCGCAGTTGATGAACTTCAAAAACGAATACAGCAGTCTGAAAATCCTGCACCACCTCCTCCACCGCCACCTCCTCCTCCTCTTCCTCCTCCCCCTCCTCCTAACCCTATACGGTAAGTGCTTAAATCAAGGGTCACGGCATTAATGCTTTGATGAAGCAGAATACATTGCATGAGCTTGCATCCAAGCAGGGAAAGTGTCTTTAAAGAAAAAACACTTTCTCCATCTGTCTTGGGCTCTTTACCAGCAGGACACACTCTACCCCACCTGCCAACAGACTAACACCCTGACCAATTTTGAACAGTGTCTGCCTTGCCAAGCCTAACAAATTGTCCAGACTGTGACTTTGGAGGAGGAGGGATACCTGTCTCCTCTAAATTTAGGAGATTTTTTTTCTATTCACCTGATAGCTGTAATTATAGACTTGTGAAGTGCTTGTCTGAATTTACTGCTAAGAAAACCCTTTTGAACCAAAGGATATATTGGATTAATATGTGCCTTCCTGTCGGATACTGGAGATGAAAATGCAGACTCCACTGAGTTCCCACAATTGCTTTCTTAAGTTAAAAAGAAAAAAAGGAGAACATAACAGAAAATCACCACCCTATCATCAAGCAGTTTTGGGCAAAATTATCAAAATTAAGCCTGATCCTTGCAAAGAACTGTAAAAGAGGCTGGGCATGACCATGACCATACCTGATGATGTATGAGGCATTAGACCCAAATTAATTAACTAAGCCCTAAAGTATGCCTAGTTAATTTTAGGAACTCAGCTAATCTTCATATTGGCTGCTTGGTTTTAAAAATAAATGGACTTTGATGACACTTTCTAACCTTCTGTAATAGAAATTATACAGGAGTATTGTTAACTGCTGTGTTAAATATATGAATAGAGATGATTACTAGGGAGAATTCATCCCTCTGTGCAACTTTGCTTTTAGAAGTCCAAACTAAGCATTTTCTGAACATTTGTGTTTGGTGTTTTGCTCCTTGTATGTCTGTTAACTCGTTTGTCATGCTTGATTCTTTCTCACTAGTGTGTAGCATGAATTAACTGTGTGTGGGTGTTGTGGGAGCATTTTTTTTGTTTTGTTTTGCCAATTTATGCCCTTTATTATTTGGAATGGATGACACTATTCATTTTAGTAGTAGCTAAATCAGAGTATTTCCTTCAGGCACTGTGAAGTATATATATGCATAGACGTGGTTTCAGAGCCTTGGCACTGGATGATCTTTTTTTCTGGGACAGATTTTTGATCCTGTGTGTCGGGGAGGTCACTCCACTCCGTGAGGAGCAATGTTCAATAGGGAGTGATAGGCCCCACTGACACATCAGATGCACATAGGACTTGGGATTTAAGATGAATAATTTCCTTGCCTGGACTTTTACGTTTTGACTATAGTGAAGGCATAATTATTTTGACACTGTAAAGAAGATTACAAACCTGGAGTTGGTGAGGAGATACCGATCACCATATTTAAGTGTCCTCTGGAGAATAATACTTCAACATCTACAGCTCTTCCTTCCTTTTATTTTCCAGAGCAGCTTCAATTTGTCATGTGTCACAATGAGACACTGTCTTTTAATATTCAGATCTTGGAGTGTTTTGATTTGTGGTTAATGTCTGTTAAAAAGTGCATTTTGATGGGAGGCATTGTGGGGGGTAATTCAGTACATACATTTGCATTCAGGAACTGTTAAATGAGTCTTTTGTAAGTAGCTGTATAATCAGGTATAAGCAAGCTGTTTGTGTCATGTTCAAGTTCATTCTAACAGTGTGTAATACAGGACAGAATGACAATCTGCAGTTTCATTTTCCCCAAAGGTCTCTCATGTCAATGATTCGCAAGAGATCCCACTCCAACACCAACGTGAGTAAGAAGGAGAAACCTCCTCAGCAGGAGTCAGGTAGGGCTCATCCTTTCTCAAGGCCTGTGGATTATTCACTGGATACTGCAGATGCAGTTAGTGAAGATGAACTGTGGGTACAGACAGTGATGCAAATGCTTATGATTGTCAACATGAACAACTGCTAGCCATGTCCCAGCATATTCATCTACCTTGCAGTCCAGAAATGTGATTGCAGCCCAGTCATATGTGCTCTGAGATAGGAAGTGGTATCTTTGGCATTGTAGCTTTGGTACTGCAGGCTTCCTTGAGATCCCAAGGAAATTCGCGTAGCCCTTGTAGCCATCTGTGCCCCCACAACTGAGCTGGTGATCAGCATCCCATTTATTTTTTCCAAATGGATCTTAGTATGAACAATGCTTGAGGCTGCAGATCAAAAACCTTAAGGGAAGAACTAGCACTTGCTGTAACTGAAAAAAAGTTCTGATCTTCCTGCTTCGGGCTCTCATGCTTATTAGATATGTCGCTGAGCTGATTTCATTCACTGATGTGGCAGAAAAAATTATTGTTCTTTTTATTCCCTTGGGGAGAGTGTGGTCATGTTTATTATAGGCTTCCAGAAGGACCTGACAAGATAAGCACTTAGCTTGGGTATGGTGATGTGCTGGGTGAGATGGGGAGAACAGGGTGGTTGGGTTTAGGCCCCATGCTGTTACAATGGCTCCGTGCAGCTTGTTGGCTCACACCCTGGCAGTCTGATACTGCCTGTAGCAATTGCACTAGAGCAGCATTGAGAGGTTCAACCTGTGCCTCTCTACACTGGAGACATTACAGCACGTAGCTGCAGCTACAGTATGTCCTGGGCTTTGCGCTTCCAGAGGTTATCTGGAAGAGGCAGAAGAACAAATCCAACACGCATTAAGCAGAGAGCAGGTTATACACAGGATAACAAAGGGAAGTTTCCAACTTGCAAATGGCTTCTTGTTTGTGATTTCTTCTGTCCAGAGCCTCTCCACAGAGCTAGTTTGATAAATGCTTCAGTTTTCATCCATCAATTCATATCTTATGAAATTACCACTCAGAGTTGACTGTAATGCTAATCCTTTAATAATACTGAAAACCTAAACCAAAACAGAATCTTGCACTAAGGTGGCTCTGCATGCGACGTAACAGCTGAAATTGCATTTTATTGTTGTTAATGGAAGCTGGAAACTTAGTAGGTTGAGAACAGGAATTAAGTACAGATTTACAAATGATCATGAGTGCCTGAAGAGTCAGAGCTAGTTAGACGAGCATTGCCAGTTAAATAACGAAGGTTTTTCTCACTGTTTGTCTCTTCCTTCTGAAAGAGTAGGATTTTGTTGCAGTGAATTGCTTAACTCATTTGCTGCCACTTAAACAAAGGAGGGGGCTGCAGAAGGGAACCTGGCTGAAATTACAGGATATAACTGTTAAACAAAAAAATCACTGTTAGCAGACTATAATGGTGTGTAAGCATGGCTGGATTGTTGGATGGGACCAACAGGCAGAAAGTGGGGGAAAGGAAGCGTTACCCCTCCCATTTTTCAGGTGAGGAACTGAGGAATGGTGTGACTCGGGCAGGTCCTTTGGGGGATCGTCTGGGTAAAATAATTGGAGAAGTGACCTTATACTGAGATCTCTGATGAAGAGTCAATCTTATCTTTCAGTAAAAGTTCAATTATGTTGCCTTCATTTATCAAGTTTCCTTACCTTGAAGCGTCCTAGATGTTTTGATTACACCTTTTTGTTGAGATTGTTACAGTGATTGCAGGAAATACTATGAAATTCACTATAAGTTCTTTACACCCCATTCTTCCATTATTTATTAGCAAACTTTAACAGTTCTGACCTTTCTTCAATCACATATAAACTGCTTCTTCTCTTAATAGTTGAGCTGTTCTTAAAATAAAAATAAAAAAAGGGGGAAAGTTCTTTCTTGATCTAGTTATCACACCCAACTTGAGGTTTGTTTTGACCCTTGTTAAGGACTTGGAATGAGTGGTTTCTATCCCATGCCACCAATTAAGCTTTTATATTTGAAACAGCCTGTTTGTGAAGTTAAAGCCTGACGTTAAATAGGCTTACTGCATTTCTATGAATCATCAATAGTACCCTGACAAGTGAGAGAGCGAAAATCTATTTTAAATTCCTGTTATATAAGGTAAAACGTTGCAGCTTTGAATAGCATCGACCATATTTCTCCATGCATTTTCTTTAAGTACTTTTCCCTCTCCCCCCTTTTTGGTATGGCACGTTAGGTGTCTTTTGTTACATTATACAGAACACTGATAAGCTAACAGGTATCGTTTAGGTTCATCACACAGCTTCCTGTTTCATCTGAGTATTTTACAGTCCTGATACTGAATATCTTGAAAAATCAGCTGTTTCCTTTCTTGGTATTTAAGTTTTGCCCTTTAACTTGATGCAGTGTTCTTTAAATGTGTGGGTTTAGTTCAGTCTGAGATGTTGGTGCATTGTTCCAGCAAGGTCCTTTATTAAACCCATGTGAAACAAGACGACCAAACATGTCTCCTATGAGGGGCTGCAGATAGGCCTCACCGTGGGGCATGATCAGCTTGTCCTGTGTCAGTGAAGCTGTGGAAATTTCTGCTGAGCCAGAGTGAAGAGACACAGTGGAAGTGGGGCTGTATACTTCAGTCCTCAGTGCTTCAGCCTATAGCACTGAGCTTTTGCAATTCCCAAACGGTTGTAGAAGCTTTGTGTTTTTCAGGATCTGGGCCCTGCTTCTGTCCAAACTTCTGCAGGCACTGTGGTTTGGCGTTTGTGAAGTCCATGGCTGGATCCTCAATGTGTGTAGATTGGCATTTCATCCTTGAAGAGCTTGTGACAGTTTAGCTGATAGCCCAGATAGCTAACAGCGCTGTATCCAGAAACTAGAATTCCCGATAACTAGAGATGAGGTTGCTGGTTTCTGCTACCATATAGATGTATGCAGCATAATGTAAAGTGCCTCTTTGTGGTGGCGAAAGTTAAGAATATTACAGTGGTCCCGTAAGAAAAGTCCGTTTGAACAGCCCACTTACGGGGAGAAAAGGGAGACATATACTCCCTATAGTACAGCATAAATATATAATTTATGCTTATCATTTACATTTTTAATAAAACTGAGAAGAAGCATGGATTTGGATAGAGCATGAGCAATATGCATCACACATACAGGCAGGAAGACCTACTGCATGGAGTATAACTAAATACATTGTATACGTAAATGCTGTTTCATCATTAAAACTAATTTATGATTATGGTAACTGGCTGTATATGGCAAGCGAGCTGTTTAGGAGGCTGTTTAACATGCTTTTTTTCTTTGTACTATTTCTCTGTAGTTTGTATCTGGAATGTGACATTCTCTTTGATTTTTGGAACAGGTGAAGAAGTTACGGATCTGAAGAGACAAGCTGTTGAAGAAATGATGGACAGAATTAAAAAGGGAGTTCATCTGAGACCAGTCAACCAGTCAAGCAGGCCTAAAACAAAGGTTTGGAATAAATAGCAGAGCAATAATATTAGCTAAGTACAGTAATTTACACTGAAAATAAATCTGGCTTTCTGTAAAACATTCAAAAGAATACATTTGCCTCACCCCATTTGCTTTGCTTGATTTTGAATAAAATTAATTAGAGCAGCATATATCTGAAGAACAGAAAAAGAAGTGAAGCCAACAGTAAGTAAATAGAAGCCCAGTTTCTTTGACACAGAGAGGAACTGAAAGCAAACATCTTGTAAACAAACAGCTACTGAGAAACAAAAAGCATGGAGAGAATAACTGAATTGGGTAAGGATCGAGAACTAGACAGCATTTAGCAGTATTTCTTCCATTTATGCAACACTTAGCACTAATATCTGAATGTGGCTACTATAAAATACTGCTTACTATCTTCACAAAAGCATAATTTTTCCTTATGTACGGGCTGTGATTCACTGTGTTAAGAGCTAAGACTCTTCCCTTCATCTGTATAAGAAAATAGATTGAATGTTAATCATGTGCCCATGAGAGGAGAGAGCAGAGGGACATTATACAACCGCACGCCTGTGCAGTAGGCCCTCATGCGATGACTGTCTTCAGGTACAAAGTCTGTCATGGTCCATTTCACGTGTTTTTTAACATGCATATGTTTGTTTACAGCCAGAAACACCAAAGCCCTCTGAAAGTGCAATGAAAGAATTAAAAGGGATTTTGGTAAGAAAACTTGTAGTTTATATTTCATTTTTTTCTTTTCGTTGAGCTGACAGGGCCTTCTGCACAAAATAGCTGACTGTTTGAAAGCCTTGCATTAGTGTTTTGGTTTGAAGCTGTGCAGCAGTCTTGGAGTGAATCCCTCAATTCTGCTTTTGACTTTGGTCCAACTGAAAGATTGGGTTTGGTCTTGCTAACAGAATTTATTTTGGAGAAAACTAGCCTGTTAACTCTGCTCCGGATTTGTATGTTTCTGCTACTAGAGGGGATGTTATGGTCTGCACCTGCCATAGATCCTTTGGAAACTCTCCCAGTGGGGATGTGGAGGGAGGGAGAGGCAGCTGAATAAACCTGGTCCAAAGTAAAGCCCCGAACCATATATGGTAGATGTAGGGTTCTCATCATCAACTGCTCTGAACTCCTGCTCTCTCCTGAGGCACCAAATTTCTTGTTAACGTAGATATAGCCCAAGTAGAGTGAGAGGTTTCTAGTCTGTCTACATTTATAGGTAGAAGAATTGATTCTGAATAGCTGTCCACATACCCATTCACCACTACATAAAAACATTAGCCTTGTGTTTGCTCCTGCTAAGAGCAATCTGCTATTGGCTGCTGGTCTGTCCTTTACTCCTATATTGCGTTGCTTATTTAACTGGTTGTTTCTTTTGCACAAGTGCTAAAATTGTATCAGTCAGAAGGAGCTGTAGTACTTGCTCTCTGATTTCTGTGACCCTGAAGCTTTTAAAGTTGAAGTGCAACTTTGGCATATCAGGTGAAATTTTGCCTTTGTAAGGTGAAAAATGGTGAAATTCTATCCCTATCAAAGCAAAATGCTTCAAATACACTCCACAGAAGGTAAGGCTTATCATTCTAATCATCCATGATAGCACCTCAACAGCCTTTATAAAAATAACTTCAGTATTGCGTTGACTGATGCAAGACAGTACAGCAAAGAGTGTAGCCACAGCATGTGCTGTGATGTAAAAACCATGAGTGTGGCACCAATGACATGTTAAACATACTGTTCTCTGGCCACATGAAAGCGGGGAAAGAAGGGAGGAAATTATCTAGAGAGCCCCCAGACCTTAATTCCAAGCTCTAATTAGAGGGACACATAACTAAATGAGGAGGTAAATAGAAGAGGAATAAAATGCAACACAGAGATTGTGTTTTAAATGGAACTCTGTAAGTATGTGAATGGTTTGCTGTGGTGTGCTGTTTGGATCAGTGAGGGTTGGATTCAGCGATCCTGCCGAATTTTCATTTTCAAATGAAAATAGCTATTTTGTTTCTCCGACACTGTGTCACTGACATCAGGGGAGACTTGATTATGTACTTCAGAGGGAGCAGAAAGAAACCTGTGGTCACCATACGTCCGTATCTAGCTTGTTGCTTTTGAGCCCTTCAGGATATTTGCAGTACGAGACAAACTATATAAAAACCAATTCCAGTTTATTCTTGAGACCAATCATTATGCACAGTCAGACAACAAACATGGGGGTGGGATGTGATAGAGTAAACATTTGTTGTTACTATGCTAATTATGCATTTCATGTAGACCTCCATGTAATTGTTACAAACAAAACACATTTATGTTCTGTGAATTGCAGAGTTTGAGTGACTCCATTGCGCAAGTTGCTTTTGTATACTCATTAATAGTGTACCTGCTCAGTTAAATTTCAAATAGTCGCCAAAGAAAATATTTTAACTTTTGAGTGCAGGTGAAGAATTAGTAGCTGAAAGTAGTGCAGCTTTTGCAACTTGCAATGCCATTTTTTTTTAAATTTGCTATTTCTGCTCAGAAGTTACGTGCTTTTCAACCAAAGATGTTGACAGTATGTTATTTATGCTCCAGATAGATGCTATACCACACGCTTCGGAAGGCTGAATAAATGGGATTCCAAAAGATGGCAAGACTCAGAGTGAGAATGAAATAGCACATGGGTCCCAAATTTTCAGTTGCATTATGAACATTTTGGGGAAATTTGACAGTCAAGTGTGTGCTGATTTAGTAACTGACTCTTGTCAGTTGGGAAATGAATGCAGTACGCACTATGTGCATGTTAAAATGTGGGCAATTCTGTGAGGTTTCAGGCTTTGATCAAAGCCCTTTTTTTAAATTTCTTTAAGACAAGTGCTGCTGGATTTGCAGGTTAGCTGACACAAAATACTAACCTTGGCATAAGGCAAGCATGGATTTCTATTTTTGTATGTGTAAAAAGATGTTTCAACTTGAGGTCTAATCCTGTGTGTAAGAGAAACCATGAAGTATGTGGACATAGGCTTAGGTTTATGCCAGATCATCTAGATTATTTGATATAATAACAGGCTGCAGTTGCAGCTAGTACATACTGACTTCCGCAGATATGTCTGCACACCAGGATGCAGTGACACAGGACCATGCTAAAATATAAAATATGTTGGAGCGGTAAAATATGGATCTTTAGCTTTTTGCTAATAGAAATTAATTATGGGCATGATAACGCTCTAGCAGTTTTTTAAGATCCTTTACGAAGATGGAGGAAGTTGGCAGTTCCCTGCAAACATCAGAGTTTGTTCATTAGTGAACCACAGCATCCCTACATCGTGAAATCCGAGTAAGGGGAGGAGTGGTGAGGCAAGCTCCAGCTGTTGTACTAAAGAGGGCTTCACACACTGGTCCAGAACTGCAGTTGCTTTTCTGCTGCTTAAAAGGTTCTCATGTTGTGTATATGGGATGTTTGGCAAGGCATAATATATCCTCAGAGAGCTTTTCATGCCTGCTTCTTGCTGTAGGACACATTGAACAAATCCACTAGTTCCCGAAGCTTAAAGTCCCTTGAAACAGACAGCAGTGAAACAGAGCTGGAACGAGTTCTGCGCCGCCGCAAGGTGACCACTGACCAGGACAGCGGCAGTAAGTGGCTGGACTCTCTCATAGTCCTCTTCTCTCCCTGCATTAGACTCTAGAAGCTTTACTTTCTCTTCGAGACCATTTCCATTTCAGTCATTACGGAGAACTCTGCTTACTTCTACAGTGACTCACTTCCCCGCCGCACTTGTCGCTTTTCATCCCCATTTTCTCCAAGAGATGCCTCTGTCAGGATTTTCTGCACACACAGCCATATATGTACACACAGGTTCCTCTCTCCTGCATGGAGCTCAGATATTGTTACTGGGGCAATAGCCTACTGTGAAAATACTTTTGAAAGTAATGGTAACCAGAGGAATGAGGATTTAGGACTAATGTTTTGAATTAACCTCTTCTGCAGAGCAAGGGTCTGCAGTTTTTAAGCTATACTTCACTATCATCATCTGTAAGAAACCGTTGATGTTCTGCCTGGTCAGAAACACAGCCTGTGCAAGTGTAAGTCCGTGCCATTGTCGATGCAGAAGTGGCTGATTTTAATGTCACTGTATGGTTTTAGCTTGAACTTTGTGGTAGTCAGTTCACTGGCTACTCAGTATGAGGACAGCTTTTTTGTTGTTTGGCTGTCTCTCACTCCAGCTGCACGTCAGGCTGGGAAAGCACTGGCAAGTTCTGAGTTGGTACAAGTGAGTTGCCTACTGTGTGTGGGCAGCAGGACTTGCCATCCCAGGAGGCAAGGGGATTGAGTGCACCACTGTGTCGATTTGGCAAGCCCTGCTTGTGGTGCAAGAAAGGGTTAATCTTGGCAGGGAGAGCAGAAGCTGCAAATACGGTATTTTGATACTCTCTGTGCACTGGATGCTGTTTTTAAAAGTCCATTTGGATTTCTGCAGCTAGCTTGAATTCTGCTGTGTTTATGTGTTGTTTCTAGACCAGTCAATCCGGATAACAGAAGCATTACACTTTCTTTGGGTTTTAGGTCCCACTGGAATCTTGGCCACATCAGAATCAAAATCTCTGCCTGTGCTGGGTTTGGGAGCCAGTGCCGCACAAGCAGCATTGAACAAGAAAGAACTGGAGACGGAATTCAGTTCCAAAGTACCCGACTCAGGTCCTGTCTCTAACCAGCTTAAGGGTGTCACAGGCTCCAAGCCTACGTTACAGTAAGTAGAATATGGATTTCTAGATATATTTTAGTACCTGATCTGTTTAGCTGGTGCATTTTGAAAGCGATTTAATATCAATTTTGGTTAACAGGATAGATGTGCAGTCTGTAGCTGTTTACCACTGACTCCTCAAATAATTTCCAGTCTCAGATGGAGGTAGAAATTGAATTCTTTGTAAGAAGTTCTTTTCTTGTAAAACCTGTGAACATTCTTTAAAAAATTCATCTTCTCTGAAAACAAACAAACAACTGAAGAGTTTTTGAGGAATAGCAAGGTTGAGGGTTTTTTCCATATCCTGAAGAGAAGAGGGATGATAGTTACATAGTTAACTCTTCATTTAAACAAAAAGGTACTTCTAGCACAATATTTTAAAAAATAGAATCACTTAAAAAACAGTAAGTCATAGTGGTCTGTATGTAGGTGTGCAGGCCAGTTTTTGTTGGGCCAAAACAAGTCCTGACTATTATTCTTAAATGCTTGTTGGTAAAAATTCTGAATTCCCTTGAAATCGCAAGATTAAGATTCTAAAAAAAAAAAAAGAAAAAAGAAAAAATAAAAGATACAGCTAGTCCTGCATTTGCACAGATGGGCTGAAGAATCTTTTGTCACAACAGATTGAAGACCCAAGGTGCCAGTTAAGCATCAAAGAGTTAAACCCGCTTCAGAAATACTTATTTCAGGCAAATCCCATGGCGGATTGGTTTGTTTTACAACAATACTAAGCTCCTTTTGAAATTAGGCTGTGTACTTACTTCAGTCCCCTTGCCAGGTTGTTTGTCAGTTTGTCACTTCAAGAAAAGGAAATAGATGAGACAGATCAGGTCAGCAGAATATTATAATCATGACTAATTAAACCTCTGATTTCCTGTTTTATCAGTTAAAAAATACCACCGGTAGCAATTCAAGCAAGTCTCCATTGCTTAGTTCAAAGGAGTAAGTCATGACAAATGAGCTGGAAATTCAGTTTGCATCTATTTTTATGAACTGATATTTACTTCACTCTCCTGCAGGTACTTTTATCATTTATTTTTGAATGGATAAAGAGCCCCATTTCCTTTTGTGCCCTACATTTTTATTTAATACGCATTGAGTTTTAAAAGCGGAATGCCTTTTCCAATCATATGTATTTTCCCCTTTTATTTCATTTAAGTATCCTTAGAAGAAAGGTGATCTTCATTTTAATCAGAAAAATGAAGATTTGTTCAACAGTTAATTTGACATGAATAATGCCATTGCATTTTCTTGAACTGCTACCTTGACAGAAAGGTGAGGTTGTTCCTGAAAAATACTGTATTTGTAGTTTGTGAATTTCTACAATTTTGAACAGATAACCTTAATCAGAAAATACAGCAACTCCTACCACCTTTTGCCTACCTTTTATTCCACGAAACTAAGTGGAAATTGCATTTACAAGAAAGGAAATGAAATAATTGCAGGCCCCAAGGTCTCGCAGAATGCGTGGTGAATTGACAGTGAAAAGGATCTTGTGTTGACAGTCACGGTTGTTATGTGTTATAAAAGCATATGTGAAGCTCAATTTATTTCTCAGCTTGCCTATTCAGTGACATCCTAAAAGACACATTTCACTTCAATTTATCTGTTTAAAGCATTAAAACAAATGTGATGGGCCAGAGTCCTTAGTAGTGCAGGGCTTCTTTGCATGTAAACCTGCTTAATTGGAAAGGCTCGTTGCTGAGGATGGTTTTCCAGCGAGAGAGAAGGTGCTGGGGCTCTTACACTCTTCGGCCACTGGGCTGGCAGGGAGGAGCAGAAATAACCTAGATGCTTCATCCCATGTGGAATTACTTTTTTTTCCTGGGTACTGTTTACAGCAAAGGTTAGTAGAAGCAGCCTCCAGGCGCCGAGGTGTGTTAAGTGCTGTTTTGAAACAGGGCTCATTTGAAGCAGACATCAGAAGGAAGTTCATTTGCCTAATATGTCTGACAACTTGCCTCAATTAGGCAGTTTTCTGGGCTTCCCTGAATACATCTATACTAGCAGTTTCATTTGGATCAGCAGAGCACCTTTGAAGCAAATCTCCCTATTGTCCTCATTTGCTGTGCTCTAATTTGTATCCTGGAGTGGTCTTGGTGCATAAACTGGATCCCTGGATTCATTGGATGAGGGAAACTAAACCAGAAGACGTGATCCAGCTTTTAATGCCTGGCCCGGGGACCACCCGAGAGCTAGTTCAGGAATAACCCCCCTGAAACGTGTGTTACGAGGACATCGGTCTGAAGCACAGGCTGTTCCCCTCCACACATCTGCTCCTGTTGCGCTGCAGTTTCCTAAAGTAGACTGTGTTAACTAAACAAACAGTGTGCTGCTTTGACCAGATACCCTAAATGGCAAAGGTGTACCAAAGATTTATGGTGGCTCCTCTTCTCCTTATTCATACCTGGGGTAAAAGGATGCAGCTGACTCATCGTTTGCAATTCCTTGAAATCTTGACAAAAGTGTAACCTGCTTCAACTGTTTGCAGCAGCCAAGCAAAGCTTTTATAGCACAGTGAAGGATTGCAGGTCTCATAATTACCAGGTGTCTCTTGCAGTGCAGTGGTTTTTGTTTTTGTTTTTTCACTTAGCTTTTAATGTACAGTTGCCTATAGGAAACCTTAGGGATAGTTGCTGCACCATCCATTCACTAAGGCTTGTAAGCTGAAGGAGGAGGTAATACTTCCAGACATTTAAATGCAAACAGCCCTATTCATCATTCTTTATTCAGGTTGAGTAACAGTTGAGCACATCCGTTCTTATGGAGAAAGAAGGTCGCGCCTTTGAAAAAGACCCAGACTTGGAAATATACCTGTGAACAATACGTAGACAGAAGTCAGCTCACTGAGGAAAATCCTGGATCCTCCCTGCCCCCGAGTCAGTGACAGCCTAACCTAAATACTGGCGGGGTAAGGAGTGTCAGTCTTTGGTTGAAGTAGGACTCTAAGATGGTTGCTCCCGTGTAACCAAGGTGTTACCGGAGCACTGGCCTCCAGCTGAATCAGCTGGGCCACTCCTGGGCGTTGCCAAAGGAGAGACTGTGGAAAAGGGGCGTAACATCAGCAAATACAGGTTGATTCTGAAATTTCCCTGTAATCAAACTAAGTGGTGATAGCTCAGAGAAACTAATTCAGAAGAAAATTTTGGGTTTCGAACCACTAGGTGAGGTGTTATTTCAGTGCAGGGGATTGTTAGAAGAAGGGTCTGAAGCCATTAAGCAGATGATTTGGAATGTGTGAAGTTTTGCTAAGGTGGTGCTGAGGGGGAAGACAGCAATGATGTGTGTCCTATAGAGAAATTGAGGCCTTAACTTCAGTATTAAGGTAGCTTCCTCTGCAGATCTCTTCCCAAATGTTTAACCCAGTGTGAGTGTAATTCTGTGACAATTGCTTAGAAGAGAATAGGTGACAATTTAGTTCCCTTGGGAGCAAAGAGAGTTCCCGTGACTCCCCGCGGTGTGCAGACACAGAAGGGAAAGGTGTGTCTGGCTCTGTTCCTGGGTTTTGGGGGATTTCTTTTTTTTTCCCAGCACTTTGTACACATTTTGTTTCTGGGCAGCAGAGTTCTCCACTAACTGAGTGAACTACAGAGAGGGTTAGTCTTAATCTGATGATTTTATACAATTAAAGGATTTGTTCTCCTTCTCCTGGCTGTAATCTTAGTACCCCTGAATCATCTACCAGCTCTGCAGGAAGCAGCTCAGCCTCAGCTAGACAGAACTGCAAAGGTTTTCCAGTGCAGCTTGAATGTGAGCAATTTAGTTGGAACAACAAATGAAGAAAACAATGGGATGTTCTGAAAGTTTGAGGTCTTCTCAATTTTAACTGTTTTAAAAGCTACTGTCACAGGTTTTCCTTAGACTGTACTTTTTGTGTACGCTCTCAGTGAGGTAGAAGCTGTCCAAGATTCATTTAAATTAATTTGCCAATCTTTTTCAGCATTTTTGAAAAAGCACCTAGAAATGGGAACAATTTCCATACTAAAGATTGTCTGCAGTTCCGTTCTGCTCGCTGTTATGTTGACCACCTTTCTACTTGGCCAGATTTAGCAGGGGCATTCCTGAATTAGAGAAAGTTTCTTGCACTTTCTTTGAGATGTCTGGTGTTACAGATAGTACTGGCACTATCAGAGGAGGGAACCAACAGACTAATTCACTAGTGTCACTGTTTGTATTCCCTGTAATTTCATTTTGACAAATACTGTCATGTGATGGAATTTTTTGTTCACTGAAGACTTTCAAGACTTGGAATTGGTCTATTTTCACTATTGTTCAGTATTAGCCTTCAGTCCTGTCTGTTGTATTCCCCTGCCTTATTAAAAATTCTGAAATATTTAATAAACACATCTACAGCTTTTGTTCTCGGTAGAAGTTTTTGACTGAGGATAAAACTGACTCACCTCTTGTGGTCTGACATGCAACGGATGGACCACGGTGGCACTCTGCTGAGCTGAGACCCACTCGCCTGTACAGGCTGACGCCGTGGGCTGGTTAGTCCGGGTCAGAGGCAGGACAGCTGAGCTGCTCTTACGTGGCAAACCCTCCTAGTGTGGTAGTTTGGAAAGGACGTAGTGACTGGAGTATGAGCTTTATTGCACAGGTGATGTTGGTCCTCAGTTACGGGGATCTTGTAGGTAAATGGGAATGCTGGGGTCAGGGTGGGCAGCAATTGCGCAAATAGCAAGCTATAACTGGCATGGGGACCTGGTTTTTGAGTGTTCCTAAAGAAGCAACTGGTGGTGAACAACTGTCAAATCAGCTTAAGGCTTCAAATCTCATCTTCTGGGGAGTAAGGAATAGCACCGGTGGAGCTGTATTTTGGTTTTGAAAGCAATTTTGCTTTGAAGGGAGATGAGAGCTGTTTCAGTGTTCTAGGCAAGGATACTCGCTGAAAGACAAAGTGTCCTGATTTGATGCCATGTTAGTGTCATCTCTTGTAGCAGAAACGACTTCATTCATGCCTGCTCGGATTCTGGGTGGGGTATCCATATGGAGTCTCCCATGCTTCAACTATGTACCTGCAAAACCAGTCTTTGTTGGAATAGATTTTTGCCAGTGTTTTCTAAATATGCTGTAAACAAACATGGATTTTCCTACAGGGTTTCCTTTGAATGGTTTCCTTTAGCCTTCTGCTTTTACGTATTGTTAAGAAATTGGATGGGACTTCATCCAGTAAAATTTTCCATGGTATTTACATAAAATTCCAGTTTCTACTGGAAACGTATTACAATGATATCATGAATAGAGCACCAAGAAAGGTTAAATAATACCAAGGTTATAATATTAACCAGAGGAAACAAAGAAAATCCAAGTCTCGGTTGACAATTCGATCCTTAGTTTGTCCTTTTGTACTCTGACTGTAAATTATTTACAAAGGGCAGAGCAGTACTAGTTCACAGACAGCCCATCAGGCGTAACCCTTTATTTTTACACTTTCTGTAGCTTCTGTAACTATATAAATGGAATATATTGCTTTTGAGACTCTTATATCACAGGCAGTCCTCAGGACTGCATGGGACTTTGCATATCCTGTGCAATTAATCTAAAATGCATTTATCATCTAAATCTGGATTTCACAGTACAGATTTTATGTGTTTAGTCATAAAAATATATGCAGACTTAGGAATAATTATGTATGAATGAGTACAATAGAACTAGGTTCTCAATTTCTGGCTTAAATATATTGTTGGACAAATAACAAGAATACTGATAATGACATTAACAATCTTAATGAAGGAAGAGCTTTGCCTAGAGCTAAATGCAAATACCTTGGCTGGACAAATTTCTAATTGTTCAAAACTGCGTCTAACTATATCTGTACTAATTGCTTGTCTCAGCTTGATTTGTAGCGGCAAAACCTGTTTTTTGAAAGGGAGAACCAAACGACGTTCATTCTTGCACCGAAACTTTATTATGCCTGCATTCTGCTCTTGACAAACTATTGAAAATAAGCTATGAATACCTGATAAATAGGGTTAATGATTTTTAAGAGTACCTCAGCTGTAACAGCAGCACTGTCAGGCTGGTGCTGCAACAGTGTAAAGGATTTGAAGAAGGGAATGCTAGTACAATGGAGTCGGAATAGTAATTCTTATTTTTATGCTTGAAACGCTGATTTAATCACTGGTTTTCACCATTAAAGTACTTTATATCGACATCTTTCATTTTTCTGTCCTTGCAAGGTGGTAAATATGATTGCCGTTTTATCCATTTTTGTTATAAATGAAACAGACTTCAGAGCGTTTGGCTGTGCATCAGTTGCTGGAATGCTGCCATACGCTAATGCAGACTCCCCACTGTGAGCCCAGTGAAGAATTATACTTTGATTCACCAGATTGTATTAAATAGTCCAGCTGTTGGGATTTGAAAGATAGTTACCTCCAAAGTGAAATAAAAATGAACTTGGCATTTATGGCTTTGACCATTTTTATAGTGTTGGGCAATCAGCTTTTCAGAGGTAGCACTTTTTAAAATAACCCTCTTCTGGTTACACTGCTTTAAAAAGTTTAATTTGCTGTAACATTCAAAATACCCCACCTTGTATTTTCTGGAATGATTGGCAACTTTTGCATAAAATAAGCATTATTTTCCTTATGAAATCACTAGCTTCTGATGATAATCAAATGAGTCTGAAACTGTGTCTATTAGTGCCAATTTCTGCATTAATTAACTTACACCGAAGTTCTAATGTTAGAGACAATTCTTGTAATTAAAGCTTGAACATGGAATTTCATTTGCTATATCCAGTGCTTCAGTAGCAAGCTGAGTAAATTCTCTCTGAAATGGAAAGTGCAACAACTGCTGTTTCTGTGATTATTTATTTGTTTTTAACCTGTACATTTGCTCTCTCCCCGTCAGGTGGGAGCCAGTACATTCTCCGCCCCGTGCTCTAATTGTTGAGTGGGGTGACCTCTTTTTTCCTTTGTTGTTTTCTCTAGGACAAAGACTGTCACAATAAAGGGTGGTTCATAGCAGATGGATCCAGTAACTGAATTTCTTTCTCTGGCCTCCAGTTGATCCTACTTTTTCCTTTTGAGTGTGTTACGTTAGCAGTATGGAAGGCTGTTTTTTATGAGTAAGCATGAAAAATTTAAAAAAAAAAAAAAAAAGGCTCTGGAGTAGCAAAGGGAGTTGCATTCAGCAGCCGTACAGGAGGGCACAGCCACGCACCCACTGGTGCCTGTCGGACCTTCTTGCACCGCGGTGCTTTGCAGCTCTCCCACAGTTTGGCGGCTGTGGCTGTATCAGTGTAGGCGTCTATACGGTGCCCATACCATTGCGTAAGGCCCTGCCTACAGGTGGGCCAAGCGCGCGTGTGTGACTGCCCTCCCTAAGCATGCCTGGTGACAAACGCTCAGGCAGACGGGGCCAGCAGGCTCGGGGAAGCGCGGCGAAGGAGGGGTCAGCCCGTGCTTGCAAGCTGCCCGTCTGCCCCCGCAGCCGCGTTAAGACGGCCGAGGAAGTGCCCCGATCCGCCCCTTGTTCCGGTCGTGCTTTCCCAGTGTTTGCTGGCTCCTCTGCTGGTGCATTCCAGCTAATCTAAGGATTTGCCTGCACGCTTTCAACACTAGTACAAAGCTTTTGAATATAGACAAGTGCTTTTAGTGTTTATAGCACGATGCCAGCCTCAACAAATAACCCTGGTGCCTCTGACCTTTCCCTCCTCCCTCCCTGCTCAGAGGGCTTTTTATCGGCAAGAATCCCTGCGCTGCGAGCAGTCAAGACGTAACCCCATTTCTGCGGTACGGAATGTAGGTCTAACACCCTCTGTATTGCAGCAAATCCAGCCCGTGAATTTTCAGAAATCGTTTGCACTCGCTCCCAGCGAGACCATGAGCAGCCTGTTGGTGCCGAGCCTTGGTGGAAAATCTGGTTGCACTGCCGCTACTGCCGGCCACGCGGCCGAGTGCTGCGCAGGGCCAGCCCCACGCGAGCTGCTCTGGGATGGAGATGTGGAGAAGCAGCCACGTTCTCCTTTCAGGCGGCGGGACTGTTAGCCTACAGACGGCAGGAATGGGTAGCGTTTTCTCTGGGTGCAGCTGCTCTGTTGGACATGGGGGAGCCCCTAAATCCAGCTCCAAGTTGAGCAGAGAGAAAATAAATTCTTAAGATTATCTTTAAACTGCTTCTTTCATAGTCTAAGGATTTTTTCAGTGCTCTGTAAGTTCGTTTTTCCTGTTAAGTATCTTCCGTGGCTAGCTTAACAAATGGTTCAGGAGGGGTGATGCAACTGTTGCATTTTGTGCACTACTGTCTCTGTGTAACAGCTGTTAAATCTATAAATCTATTTACTAGTTTAGTAGACCTGTCCTGGTCATATGTGCTACTAATAATAGAAATGCTTTTCTGTGTCTTTATATTCTTTCTCCTAAATATGTGAATTATTACCTGTATTCATCTATTTATTCTTCTTCCTTTAGATCAACTAGCCATACAGAATTTACAAGAAAGGCTTCTAGCAGTGAAAAAGAGACAGAATCCATTGTAGTTTTAGATCCTGTTTCCACCAGTGGGAATCAGACACCTGAAAACATGCTGAATCGGAACAAAATGAAAGAAGAAGCAAGCAAGGCGCTGCATAAAGAAACTAATGTTGAGAAAATAAGAGAAACAGACAGTTCTAACTGTTAATTGTTATTCTGAAAGGCTGTAACTTTTGCGAACCATTATCTGGACATGTAAATTGCTTAGGTGTGTTACTAGGGGCTACGGTCTGTACTCCAAACAGTTTTCAGTAATATCGATTGAAATGGTCTTTTGTATGCAGTTTTGTTACATGCATTAAAGTGTTAAATAACTATGTATCACTCAAAATCCCTTTCTATGGTTAATATTTTCTTAGATATTGTCAGTTACCTTTTCTTTAAAACTACATTTGAAAAGGCTTTTTAAATTATTCTTTTGTTGAGACAATACCTTGTTAAAGGTCCAGTCTAAAGCTTGCCAGAAGCCCCTTGCATCCCTCTTGAACTGGACGCCTATGAAGGTGATTACGCACACATCAGATTTAGTATGGGGGGTATTACTAATAATTAAAAAAATCAGGTTTTAGACATACTGCTTTAAAAATATTTTGATATCTACTTAATCCAAGATCTTGTCAGTCTCCTTACTGCTGTCTCCAGACACGCTTTTTTGAGGAAATTAAAAGCACAAGCATAACACTTCCATTTCAGATTCCCCAGTGGACAGCTAGCCCAAAGACTGAAAAGCAAAGGCAGTGCAGTTTGTCATTTTGGTACCAAGATTTTGGTAATGGTAGCCGAAGTCAGAAGTTTGTGGGTTGAGATTGGTGCTCTCCTCTAGATTAAAAGCTTTTCACAGGAGGACCTACCTCCTGGTTTTTTGTTTCAGTGCTGCATAGTAAAGTTTGGTACTGCTGCAACTGCAGTCTGTATTTGCTGCTGCAAAAAAAGTTAACCTCGGCTCCTGTGAGTATGGAATACATTTGGGATTCGGTCATTCTAGGAGTGCAAGTTATTTGAAACCAACATTTTGAGAGCTTGCAGCAGTAACAAATGAGCCTTTGCTTGGAACCTGGTACACACTGGTGGCATTAATTTCTTTGAGATAACACTTCGGATGTCTGTATTTGATGACACAAACCCCAGTTTCCCTCAGCCCTTATTTCCTATGAAGACAGTGAGATAGGTACCTAATTGATTTGCTCCACTGCCAATTCACATTCCATTGTAGTCTCTTTTTAAATTCAACACGGTATCCCATTCTTTTATAATGAGCAAACGTGTAATCAGGGATTTACCTAAAGATTGGCATAACTGAAATTGGGTGGTCAAGTACTTGAATGCACTTGGATTATTTTTTATTTAATGATTTGAAACAGTGATAGTATTGAAGGATGAATGTTCTGAGTTTGTTGGTTTTGCTCTGCATGCAACTGTCTGGTGCTTTTCCTACAAATAAAATGATAGTAATGAGTGTGGTAGTTGCACATCTTTTTTTGGTGCTTTTTGCATGTTTTCTAAGGAAATCTTGGACTTGATCTAATTACTGAACTACATATAATTTCTAAACTTGGGGAAATTTGTCTCTCATTGATATCTTAATTTCTGGGGGGGTGGTTGGTTCTAGTGGTTAATTTTTCACTTAGGGTATCTGTTACACTGAATTGAAAATGCAACATTTTCTATATGTATTTTTCCTCTAATTATTGCTGCTGTGTTCTATGTTCAAATTTTCAAATGATACAAACCCCAGAAGCTTTTGAAGAAGTATTTCTTTTACTTAAACTGTTTGTTACCTAGGACATAAATTATTTATCTTTTCACTGTTGCTTATTAAAAAGATTCCTGACAAGTTTCCCAGACCTTGTGGAAGTGACTTGTTATTCCCTGCCTCCGACTGAAGCAAGCTTCCTAGTGATGCCAATTACAGCTTTGTGCCCTACATTTGGGGTTTGCACTGAGGCGCTTGTATTGCTAGCTAGCTAGAACTGGAGCAAAATTTCCCTTGTAGGCTAGATCTAAGAGCAGCATTGAGGGGGTGTGGGGGGATGGAGCAGCATAACAGTCAAGGCCTTTGTTTTTTGTAAAAAAAATTTTTTTTTTTTTCCTGTTTGTCAATAGCTTGCTCTTTGTATGGAGAGAGATTTCGACTTTCCCAAAACAAACATTTAGTTTCAGACTTAACACAGATGTTATTTGTTTTGTCAATTTGTAAATACAGCACAGAATTTTTTTGTGGTATTTTCAAACTAGAGCCAGGGCTCTGTTAACTTGGTTTCAGCTGAAAGCACTGCTCTCCTGGGGAAAAGAGAAGCTAGTATGTGAATGCTTTTAAAAATCTTTGGCTAAAGTGCTCGAAAACAAGTAGATTAAGGAATAGTTAATGTATGAGTTTCTTAATAGTTTTGTGGGCTTTTTTGGGGTTTTTTTTGTTTTTTTTTTTAAGAAATTTACCCAAAAGTTAATGTGGACCACCTAGGTCAGTGTGCTGTTCTCTGAGAGCTGAGCAGGCAGGCTGCAATCCTCCAGGGCGGGTTGAGAGAGCTGTGGAGGCAACAAGTCCTGTTTTGGGGGAGGAAGTACATCAGAAGGTTGTTTTTCTGGCTGTGATTCTTCAGCAAAAGCAATAAATTCAAGATTTGCTTCACCTGAAATAAAGAGAAAAAACAAACTAATGTTTGCTGTAATCTGCTTTCTTGTGGTGTTCTCTGGTGCACCCAGAGTTTTTTAAAATGCCGCATGATGCTTAACAGGTCTCTAAACACCTTTGAAAGTCTGGTCCCTGAAAACAAAGGCCTGCACTTTGACTACAGGATTAGGGAATGGTGCACAGCAGCTTGAGCTGGGACATTTATTGCATTCCCTTCTTCACTAATCATCTCCCCTTGCTGCCCTTTTTTTGAACACCCACCTTCCTCTGCACTGGTGCTTTTCCAAAATTTCCCATCAGCTGACTGCACCTCTTCTCTACCCCAGCCTTTAATAACCTCACATAAGCCCGCGTTCGGCTGCTGCTCCTGCAGCTATCGCTTCCCCTCTCTTCTCACTGCTGTTCTTCCCCAAGGGTGTGACACTCCTGCCTCCCTACCCTCACCACCTAACTCCCGTTATTTGCCACGTACGCAGTGCCCACCCCACCGCCGAATACACCTCGGCTGCGCTCGTTACTCTTCCGTGAAGGGGTGGCCAGCCTGTGGTTCCGCTTGCAAGCGGTTCACACGCGCCGTCCAGGAGGACCCGGTGCCTGAAAGGCAGCCTCGGCAGCGGGGCTTCCATGCACCCAGGGTTACTCGCAGGAGCTGGAGCGCCGGGGTTGCGGTGCTCCGGGGCCCAGCTGCCTGCCCCATCCCCTCACTCGGGGGGGACCCCTGATGGGTCAGTGTCACCTCCTGTCTCCGAGCCACTTGGGAGTCCGGTGTATTCCGTAGCTCGCAGCCCAGCCAAATGAAGGGTTTGGTATGCAGCTCAGACCTGTGGTCTCAGTATTTCCCTGCTGTTAATTTAGTTATTGGATTTTACTTCGGTCAAGTGATTAACGGCATCGGGGATTGCTGCTATTTCACTTTATGAGATAAAGGTTTAAGTATTTGTCAAACCCGAGCTCTTTTGCTTAGACTATACCATTTGAGTAGGGGATATATTAATACTGCTGAGGCAGTTAAAATTCATAGTTCTATCATTGTCTGTCTTGTCTTTGAAAAGTGCATCCTGTGAAACTACTTCGGAGGCAATAAAGAATTTCTGTCTACATTTCTGTTTTTTGCAATGATTATATACGAGCAAGGGAGAGATTTCAAAAATAATATTTTCAACAATTTATTTTTTAAATAAAAACTTTGTTCTACAGCGTGCATGTTGAGTACTGCTAGCCTATGCGTAGAACATTGAAAATTATTAGAAACAGAAGGGTAAAATTACTTAATTCCTCTTCACTTTTCTTTTTCTAAGGCATAATAAATTCTTGCAAACCCTTTCCTTCTTTTCTTCCTCTCCTTGTCTCTCTGCTTTCCCTTCAGACTGTATGCCTTTATTCTGTCTTGACTGATACCTGAGCAAGTGAGAAGTGGCTCTAATGAACCGTTAAGCATTTAACAGTGTGGAGTATCGTGTAAAAAGAAGACGCAGATCCTGAAATGCTGGCAGATGCATACAAGTGGCTAAGGCTGAATGTGCATCCTCAACTTCGTTTTTTCTTGGGTTTTAGTCCTTACCCATGCAATTCTAGCTTTCCAAACACATTTTGCTGGAAATGCAACACACAAAAGGGGGTTGTGAAATGAAGTTATGTTAGCAATATATGTTTAGGGGCTTGAGGGAGGTGGGGTATGTGGCCTAAAATTCCATTTTGGCAGCTTTTCGGCATGTTATATGCATGGTTTTTGTTTTGTTCCTTTTGCACGGTGGGCTTCAAGACTCCAACCAATTAATTCTGGAAAAAAGCTTAATGTAGGCTACTCCTCAAGAAGGGGTCTATTTTAACATTCAGTAAACAGATAATCCATTAGGACAACAATATACATTGTGGCAAGTGCTATCCTAGGTTTTTTTTGTCAGCGCTTATTTATAGTCTTTTGATTTCACTTCCCTCCTGTGGTGCAGTTTCAATCATTCTCCCTCCAATCTTTGTTCTCGTATTCATTGCAAGCTGAAAACAAAAGTAAGAAAGAAGCTCATACGTAGCGTTCTATTCTTGGCCAGTTCTTCCTCTATAGCAAGAAGGCGGTTGTATTTGGTCACCCTTTCTCCGCGGGAAAGACCTCCCAACTTGATAAACCTGGCACCCAGTCCAACAGCCTTAAATGAGAAAGTACGTATTTTAAAACTACACGGTTTGGGAAGTGAAGTCATCCTTCATTAATACACATGGTATCCTGCTTCTAATTTAACACTCCTATCCTTCTACAGATAAAACCTCTCCTTGAAATGGAAATAAAGTATCTTAATGAAAGATTTGTCAGATGCAAACAGTAATTTTCACTGGCGTATGAAATGAAATTTTATTTGCAAATGTAGCTTTAATACAAAAAGATTAAATATATTAGTGTTAAGAATTTTTGCCTAAAATACTATTACTACTCAGGAATTTTTTAAGTCACTTTTTTTTATAAACTAATGCAACAAATAGATCATACACACTTTTGAATATACTCCCTGCTTTCGCAAATTTCCTGTGTGTTCTCTTTAAACTCAAAGATTAACTCTCTCTGGGGGAAAAAAGCAACTCTCTAGAAAAAGCCCATTTTGTGAAATGTTGTTTCTTTCTCAAGCAGAAAAAGGCTTTCTCCTTAAAAACCAGTTCATGTTAAAAGCAGTATTTTGGCAATTCTGCAGTTGAACAGCTCTCAAGACTTACCAGATCCACAAGGCTATCATCAGAAGATTCTCCATCTGGACTTCCTAATATGGTAATATGTCTTTGACCTATATATAACAGGAGGGTAA